AATATAATCCGGAAGAGGAACGGTTCCCAAACGGTTTCTGGTCTGTCATTTCAGACAGAACCGTTTTAGAACCGGTTCCCTACTGGAATATATTTGTAATTTCAGACACAAACGCTTCTGTCCCATTTAGGAAATGGGGCTGAAGCGTTTTACCTGTCAACCGCGTCCAAGTAGTCTTCAGTTTCCTCTCCTGGTTCCGATGCGCTTTTCCCCGCCATTTTTCACCCGCGCAGGCGATCTCTGGCTTTTTTTTTTTAAAAAAAGGTTTGCTTTATAGCGTTATACCGCTATAGCGCTATAATGGAACAGTATATCAACCCCATTGGAATGCCTGGAGTGTTTTGTTATAGTGCTATAGTGCTATAAAGCAAACATTAAAAAAAAGCTGGAGTTCGCCCGCACGGGTGAAAAATGGCGGGGGGAAAGCGGGAAAAAGTGGTGCAGTCTGAAATGGCAAACTGCTTCAGATCCAGCTCTTTACCGGAAGGGGAAAGCCATGTGTGAAATGGCAGCCCTATACCGGTTTACTCCATGATGGATCAAAAACAGCTTCAAAACGGGTTAAAAAGGGTAATGTGAAATTTCTCATTGTGACCTGTGAAACCCTTCAAGACCACTCCCACACTGAAGACAGCTGTCCTCCAACAGCAACCCTTTGAGTACGATCCATGATGAATGACTTAAACCAGTCTGAGGCACATCTGATACCTACCTCTGCCTCTGAATGCCTCAATATGACAGCATGATCTACTGTATCAAAGGCTGCAGATAGAGCCAGTAGGAGCAACAAAGAGGCCTGACCTTTTGTCTGCATTCATGTTGAGGTCATCAAGTAAAGCCTCCAGGGTCATCTCTGTCCCAGAGCCTGGCCTGAAACCAGACTAAAACGGGTCCAAAGCACATGGGTTGTCCAAGAAGACCTGAATGAAGATAGAGCCAAGTGACTTTAAATAACAACCATTAGAACAGTGCCATGACCAATGCCAGTGCCAAACAATGGCAGCTAGTGATGGCCCCTCAGCTTCAGAAGCATATAGCCATGCAACTCAAGCTTGTATATGGCAATTCATTAATTTCATTCATGGCATCTAGGTATGTTCTTCTATCATTTTCTGTGGTAGAATGTTGTTAGAGTGCTTGGCCTGCAAAGCACCCCCCCCCCCCAGTATCAGTCCGATTGGTAATATCTATTTGATCCATTGGTGGTCTTTTTAATCAGGGTAAACGGATACAGTAGGAAGCCATTGCCTTACTTACATCTGTAAGGCTACTGCTTACTCCTCCCCAGGACTGAGCTTTACAGTACCATCCTAAGCACAATTACACCCTACTAAGTCCATTGACTTCAGTGGAATTACATGTATGTGATTCTGTTTAGGACGGCACTGTTAGAATCCTTATAGTACAGTCCTACACATATTTAAGAAGTCCGACAGTATGAGACAGGGCTTCTTCCCTAGTATGTATGCATAATATTACAAACAGAGATTACTTTGACTATGCCAGAACAGGTTGCATTATGGGAAAAACACAATTTCTCCATGAACGGTCAAACAGAATGCTTTCATTATTGTTTTGTGAATATACTAACAAAATTGTTTTGTTTTTGCTTCCATGCATTGAGTGAAGATAAATGGGGAAAGCCCTTACTTGTATAAATTGTCATTTTCTTTTAAGCTTAGGTTATAGGCAAGAAGATACTTCATCCATCATTTTTAAAACAGATATGGACCAAACTTCTGGGCTGGATTGTTAAAGGCAATGCAGAACTATCTAAGTAGTTTTTATTAAGCAAATTGAAGATTTTTTTTAAACTCGAGTCTTAAACAAATGATGGATGAGCTGTGCATATCTCCAAAAAAGAATTTATGTTTTTTCGTTGGCAGTCAACAACAAAAATATTGGTCCACATCTATTACTGGATGTTCTCTGAGCTGAAGTGCTGTCATTACATGCTGTTACCAGTTTAGAAGAATATGGAAATGTTTGTTTAGTTTCCTATGATCGCATTCCTCTCCACTACCTCTGTCCTTTACTTCTTGAAGAGTTTTTGTGTGGATAACTGTGATCTGCTATTGGGTTAATCTAAAAGTTATAGTTGTCCATGCAGTTCTTAACCAGAAATGTATTATGATAATACAAAGTACAATATGAAAAGTTGAAAGTATGTACCATAAACTCTTCTGACTACATGTGAGAAAGTGTGTGTGAGTGTGATTGTGTGTGCACAAGCATGTGAAAGAGAGATTAAATGTGTTTTGCTCTCCTAGAGAAATAACTTACAAGTACAAAGTAGAATGCAAAAGAGCATCTATCATGATATGTCAAAAAAGCTTTGGAGAATATTTGGAAATATGGACAAGGTTTTGTGAATGTAAGGCACTAATATAACCTTTCTGCCCAACTGCAGATTTTATTACAAATTACATATATTTGAAACACCAGTAGAAAAGAGAGCACACTTCTATTTACAATCACTACACATTTACATATATTATATACAGATACCAAATTTAGTCAAATATATGGGTAGAAAATACAGCAAATAGTATGAAACTGTACATGACATATTCTTGTTTTTAGTATGTTTTACTGTAACAATATATACAATTCCATATTTACAACCTGTATTTTTAAAAGCTTCTCTAAAATGATTTTTAATATTTCCAAGTTTAGAAAATCTGAATCAAAGCTCTTGAGTATGTATATAAAAATAATATGCATAGTTATGTTTTGGAGGATCTTTAAAAATGTTTTTTAAATAAAAGAATCTTTCTTGAATCAACCTTCAGGCTTATTTATTTACTCCTCAAACTTGTATACAAATGCAAATGTGAGGATCATTTCACTGACATTAAGAAGGATTCCATAGATTCACGCCTAGGCAGCAGAGCTGAGGAAAAACTGCTCCCCCCAAAAAATCTTCCAAAACAAGTAAGAATATTCAAGAGCTAAGACAAGAAGAATTCCAAACCACTGGCAATCGTTCTTAATCTCGATTGTGTACTATGGTGGAACATCTGCAAAGTATCATTTGTCAATAGACAGAGAAGATGGAGGGGGAAAAATGAAATTAAACATCTGATCAACAAGCAGAAAAACAGGAAGCGCTCTAGGAACTCCGGGAGAAATTGGCAGATTATGAAGAGTCTGGCAGAAAGGTGGAAGAAGCAGCTGGAAGAGATGATGGAGGCAGAGTCCAATACTCAACTTATAGTTCAACAACAAGAAGAGTGCCTTGAAATATTGATGAAGGAACATATAAAGGACCTGGAGATGAGGAAGGGCTAAATGCTACTGGAGAAGCTGAGCCATAAACCTAACACTTCCCGCAGCTGGACGGCCAACATAAAAAACCAGCTGGAGAACTTTAATAATAGATAGATGAACGAACAAAAAATGGAAATGGATATGAGGAATCACAACATGGAATTGAAGGAGCTGAGCAAAGGTCCCAACACTCCCATCATCAAAACCCAGCTGAAAATCATTCAAAAACAAGCAAACAAACAGCATTTTCTGCACATTCAGTGGATCAGTCAGCTGGAAGACAGTTACTCAGCTGCATTCAGAGATTAAAGAAACAAAGAAAATATTTGAAGACTAGATTCAGAATCTGGAAACACAGCTGCTAGAGGCTCAGTCCAAAAAGTCTGAGCCTCCAAGCAAAATGGATCTGTCCAGCGGAGAAAGTGAAAACCTGAACATTCAGGTTCTACAGTTGCAGGAGGAGCTGCAGAGGAATGATATAGAGCTGACAATGGAGAAGAAGCAAAATAAAGAGGAGGAGGATGAGTTCGGGGCTCTAATCGAAGACAGCAACATTACCAACTGCCAGCTTTGTTGAGAATTGGACCAGAAGAGCAGGGAACTGCAGTCCCTGAAGTACACAACTGGAACATCAGAATGATGCCTGCAAAAGAAACGTCCCAGAGATCATAGCTTTGGAAGCATCCCATGCTATGTTTAAAGAGACACCACAGTCTAGATCATGTTTGAAATAATTTTGAATTTCAGTATTTATCTCCTTGGAAATATATTGGTTAAATTAAAATGATTTGTCTTTTTAAAAAAAGGATTCCATAACTGAACCACTGTAAAAAAAAACAACCCATGGTAATAAGTATTGTGCAAACCATCAGATCTCTTGTTTAATCCAAAGTGGTTTTAGGAATCTCTCCAGCTGCATGCTGCACTGCTTCAAAAGCCAAAGAGATAAAGGAATATAATGGTCATATAGCTGGGTTTTTGTGCGTGTGTGCATAGTTTCTGCATTTTTCATTTTCTTTCCCAATGATACACGTCAGCTGAGTAAACTTAGGCAGCAGAGAACTGGAAATAATTCAGGTCTCCCCTCCCACAACATTCCAAGCGGCTGTTCCAAGCATTTCTAGCAATGTCAACAGGCTTCCCAGTTTAGAGCTGTACCTTTAATGCTAACAAGATGAACCAGTGTCAGGTGCCAGTCATAACCTATGTTTTCAGTTACTTGGATCTGCTTAACTTGTTTAAGTAGTAGCTGCACATCCTGTTTTTTTTAAAGCCACATTTAAACAAGATCAAATATCTTATATAACTGGGATAAGTACATATACTTGTAAATCTCTAGCATTTTATGTAATAAGACAGGCCTCCTAATATCCCTCTCTTATTGGAATCAGCTTATTAGAAGTTTCACTACAATGGCAATAAATCCCATGAAGGAGGAGGTAGGAGGCTTCTAGCTCAATTTTTTTTTTATTCCCAACTAAGCAACTGAGCCAGTGCTGTCAAAAGCAAGTGGCTTTTAGACATCTTATTGATTCTAATGATCCTTGACTTGTATGTGGAGAACATACTAAGAGGGTATGTATTGAGGTTTTAGGTTTCCAATGTTCATTGTCATCAAACACATGTAATGAAAGTAGACAGTTCTTTGCTTCTTTGCAAAACAAATGCATGCACATTCATTTAATTTTGGATTGAGAACTTTGTAAACCCAGGTACCTTTTGAAGGGAAGCTAACGACATGGAACAAATGTTACTGATGAAAGGTTACAGCTTTCTGACATTTGATAGGATTGTGGCACTAGTGGGTTATTGGTAGGAATATCATACGCTATTCTGGTCCCTGCAAGGGTTACTAGAGCCTGGGTTGAATCACATGACTGTTTTTCTGCATCCTCTGAGTTTACAGACATCATACTGGCATGCTTTGATGCTTTCCATAGAAAGGTTTGCTTTCGAAGGCTTCCAAGGTCTTCCTTGAAATGGGGATTGAAAAGTATGTAAAGAAGTGGGTTTACACAAGAAGGGAGGGGGACAATCACTAGGAGTATTGGTTTAATTACTTCTGGACTAATAAAACTGAGATTTAACAAGGAAGAAAATGATAAGATGGCCACAGGGCAATAGAGAATGCAGTTAGTAAAAAGCAACAAGGCTATGTGCTTCACCATAGAACAATCCCAAATATTGTCCATTTCCCTCTTTTCCAGACTACAGTAGAGCTTTGTGTAGGCTATTGTCATAACAAGAAAACAAAGAGAATTTAACAAGACCAATGCTACCATGTAACTCACAGCAGCTGGCTTCCCAAAAGGCAATGGTATGCAGAGGGGAGAAACCCCGTACTCACTCCCCCCAAGTAATGGAATCATTGCAATGATTGATGCCAACATGAAGCAAAAGAAAATGGCTGTTCTCATGCTAGTAACAGTGAATTTTGTCTCAAACTTTGTAACATGTTTCACAGAGAAACTGCACTCAAGGGCCGCTAAGGTGAGCAAAAAAATGGAAGCCTCTGAAGCAAAGATGGATAGAAGGCCAACAATGTGGCAACCAGTTCCACCTTCCCACCAAGCACCATAGTGAGCAAAGACTCCAAAGGTTAGTGCATCCATACTGGCAAGCACACTGCTAGATGTGCCCATGAGCATGTTCACAATGGCTATTAGTCCGATCAATAGCTTTATGGAGGAAATAAACAGGGATCTGAAGACCGTTACAAGCACCAATGCATTGCACGTGATAGCCAAAAACACTATAGTCCAAACTCCAATTCGGATCAACCAGCTGCCAAATAGGTAGTCACATGGCTTGAAGGGTCCTGCAATGACAAAATGAGAAAAGCTGAGTTAGGTGAAACCTTAGCTGGTATATTCTTTGAGATTCCCCTTTCTGATTCCTGCACTGAGGAAATGAGATAAAAGATTATATGTTGTAAACTTTCATGTCTGCTTTCTGATTTTAGGAGCTGGCTATTTGCCAGAAATCTGTCAACCTCCCTCTCCATGCCTGTTATTAAACACCCACTTGACCAGTTTGTTTGCCTTCTTCCTCTATTTTAACCTCTTTATTGGTTTAGGAGAAAGTGGGCAGGCTTTTCACCCAACATAATGCTTTGTTTGGAATCTGCATTGCAGTTGTGGTCTTGTAGCAGGTACAGGTAAACCTTGCTGGCTATTTTCCATTCTGTTATAGGGCCATCTGCAACTGAACATATGGGTAGGGTGACTGAAGGTGTCTATAGGAAAGACTAATCCAGTAGACCTGGGGATTTGCAATAAATGTTGAAGGACATTCTACATTGGTCTTGACCTCTTAGTCCCAGGTACATAAAAACACACACACACACAAAACCCCATTCCATATGTCAAATTTGATGAATTATGAAAAAACCTATTTTATTTCTGAGGAGACGAAGACAGAACATATGGTAATGGGCTTTCAACTCAGGTCAAGACTTCTTGCGGCTCTGGTAATGTGTACTCATTTCTTCCTCCATGCTTGGACCCTAGTTCTCGGGCTGCAGCAGTGCTGTGGCTATGAGAACTCTTCCCTGACTGTGGCCTTCACTTCCAGATGGAGCCCTCAGAACTATGACTAATATCTTTGTAACTTCACAACAGACCTTTATCGTGTCTGCTGTGCTGGCCCTTTCCACAGTTTATTAGAGGATGAAACTTCATAGCCAAGGACCTTGGTTTTTTCCTTCAAAGGAGCCTCGATGGGAAGACTGTTGACTAGCAGATCTTTACCTGGAGAGGGAGAGCATTGGACTGAATGATGAGTTTTCAAATCTTCATCAAAGTCAAGAAGAAAATCCTCAAAGTCATCTGTAGGAAGAAATATCACAGTATTTAGTAATTTACATTGCAAGGTAACATCTTATGCTAGAATGGCAGAGAACATTTTTTATACTAATCCCATCTTTTTATACTGTAAACATCACCCAATTTCAGAATTTGAATCTACTGATGCTCTTTGGACAGATACTAATATCTAATAAAACAGGCTTTCCCATTTAAGACAAGAATGAATGTTGACTGAAAAACCTCCTTTATCTGAATATCAGCTGTTTGGAAAAATTACACATTTGTTTGTAACCTCTAGCTTCAAAATATAGTAACTTCCTGTACATGGTACTTCCACATATCTGATTTTGTATTTCCTTTGGTATTTGAAACACTGAGGCTATGGTTCAACAACAAATGAAAATGAGATGGAGATGAGGCTATACAGAACGGCCGTCTCCTCTGTCTAATGCAAAAGATTTGGTTAAAAAGCCCATTCAATTCTACGAAGGGAAAGAAACTTTTAGCACTCATAAACTCCAGCAGCTGGCAATGAGAATCTCACTGAAGCACTTAGAGATAGGATGCTATAGCTCTTCATTAATTTGATAATCCCAGAAGCTACAGTATGGCAAATGCAGAAAATCAAATTTGAATGACATTTTCAATTGTGACAGCTGAAGGTGAACTTCTCAAAATCTGCTTTGTTATGACATAATTTTCATTTGCAGCCTGGGAATTCCACGACTGAATTCTGCTCCACTTAAAAAAAATATGCATACTGAGACTTATTGGAGACAAGGCTGACATATTTGGCTATAATCCTTCTTCCTACTATCTGATTTTCTCGAGCAGGGGAATTTTATGCATGGAAAAGTATAGTCACTCGTGTGAACTGTTCATGAGCAGTCTGAGCCCAGAAACACTGGCTGTTTGTGAGAACCAAGCCTATTCTGCCTCCACCACAAATGGCATATGGGGACTGAAGGACTGACAGGCTCTTGGGTGACTGTCAATCTGCAGATGTGTGCCTGGCCCACTTAACCGTGATCTGGTATTTTAGAATAACAGAAGTACCAATTTTGCCTCATTTAGAGTGCTATATATAAATCATATCACAGTATGCAACAGTTACAGATTGGTGTACCATAAAATGTGTGTGTGGAGAAAATATGTTCAGATGACTGACCATGTTATAGGAAACATTCAAGACACTAGTGAATCTGACTTGGAGTAACGGAAAACATTATGTTTCAGGGATGGAATACATTCCTTACTGGGGATTTATTTACATTGACAATCTCCTATCAAAAGGGTAAACTAAGACAGTCATTTTCAATCACTGGCTGCCACATTCCAATCAACAGTAACTATCCTTTACTGCTACTCTGAAAATTTAATTTTTATTTACCATGAGTATGGAATACGCCAGCATCTTTCCTTTGAAATTCATCAGCACTGCTGTTCTCATCTTTGCTCCACTGATTTTGGATTTTGTAGTAGTTGTCACAAACTCCAAAGGCACAGCACTGGTAAGCATAAGGCATTTCTATCATCCTTTGGAAAAACAGACAATATATGGTTACCTACATAAAATGTCTCAGTGACCTGCCTTCTTTGCAAAACCTAACAAATAGTAATTAATATCAGATCAAGGTAATATCAAATCAAGGCAGGTAAATATAAAAAATTAGCGCATTCTTCCAACAGCTTTGTACAGTTCAGCATAATTTGCATATCACAAGTGTCTTATATATATGCATAATAAGACCACAGATAGGTGCCATGGAACCCTACAATTACATTTCTTTGTTTTAGCTTCTATTATCTACATTACTGAAACAGCCTGATCCTACACTAGCATTACCACCATAACAACCATCGGCACTGCATGGGCAAGAAATTCCTACTTCTGATGTAATACAGGGCAGCTATTTAAAAGCACTTGTGACTGCTAGGCACCCCTAAACTTGCATCTTGTAGACTTCTGAGTTCATTTTGGTCATCGAGAATTGTGCACCGTTCTGGAAAACATAACTGTAAGTGGTTTTGAGAAGAAGGACCCTGATCAGGCTGTTGGATAAATAACCTATCATCCTAGAATTGATCGACAAACAAATTACTTTGCTCTCTGAATCCCAAAAGCTTCCATCTAACTGTAGCAGCTCAGAATGGTTTGTACTGATGTGACCTTATGTACTACATCTCTATTGTAACTAGCAGCATCAGCTATGAGTAGCACAAGTAGTGTTCATCCAGGTGATCTTGGAAGCTAAGCAGGGTTGGCCCTGGTTAGTACTTAGATAGGAAACCGCCAAGTAAGTCCAAGACTAGGGATGGGCATGAACTGAAGTACAAACTGAAATTCACCATGAACTCGTGGTTTGAGAACCTCGGTTTGTGCTATTCAACCCTCATAAGCCCCCATGAACCTTCCAGGTGGGTTTGTGTGGATTGTGTCAGATAAACGCTGGCACCGGCAGTGGGGCTTGGAGAAGACATTTAAAGAGACTGCAGTCTCTTTAAATGCCTTCTCCAAGAGGTGCAGCCCTTTAAATGGTTTTTGCAAGCTCTGCCACTGCCACAGCATGACTCACAAGTGAACTGAGAAGCTATTTAAATGCCTTCTCAGTTGACTTGCTGAGTTGTGCTGCAGTGGCGGTGCAACCTTCTTAAATGCCTTCTCAGTTCACTTGCAAGTTGTGCTCTGGCGGTGGCCGCACGACCCAGCAAGTCAACGGAGAAGGCATTTATAGATTCCCTTTAAATTCCAGCAATTTCTTTAGCTCTCCCCCCCCCCACTTCCAAGAAGGAGGGGAGCAAAAGGAATAGTTGAAATGACTTGAAAAAGCCGTTTAAAGGGAACATTCCTTTTAAATGGGGTTTGGAAGATCTTCCCCCCTTCCAGTTTGCTGGCCTTGGGAAACTACCCCCAGAAGAAAGTGTGTGTGTGGGGGAGATTCACAAATGTCACAAGCCCAAACCAGTTCACGAAGCGACGGAGGTTCGTCCCAGTTTGTGGTTTGTGGGACCTCACAAACCATGAACCGGGACAAACCTCAATTTCCTGGTTCATGCCCATCCCTATCCAGGACTGCTATACAGAGGCAGGCAATGGCAACCCATCTCTGAATGTCTCTTGCCTTGAAAACCCCATGAGGGGTCACAGTAAGTTGGCTGCGAACTGATGGCACTTTACAGACACACATGCTGCTACTCTGGCCGAATGGTCCCCAGATTGACTAATGATACTAGTGCAATTTGGCAAACTGTTATGTTGAACCTGTATAAGTAATCCTTGCAAATTACTGTAAATTTTTACGTGCCAGAGCAACCTCTTGTAAGATCAGGCCATTAATAACTTCTCCTCAGAGTCAAATGAGACATTATTTTTTACTTGCATTTGCCATGGAGACTTGGAGCCATATTGAAGCCACAAGTTCAAGTTCTGGTGGTAACTCCTGTGTAAAAAAACCCCGGTGAACCTAATTCTGATCCATGGAGAGAGGAGGAGCTCCTGCCTCCTTTCAGAGTCTTTTTTGGAAGCCAAAATGACCTGGAGGCTGTGGTGGGGGAAGTACTCACTCCATCAGGAGGCTGCATGTGCAATGAATGCTTGTGGATGCAGCCTCCTGATAGGGCCAATAATACCTCCCCTGACAGCCCCTGGGTCACTTCAACTGCTGAAAATGGTGCAGGAGAAAGGGAGAAGCCCCTGCTCGCATTGCTCCATGGTCCCTATCAGAACTGGGCCCATCTGCATTCTTACACAGCATGCCGCCAAGGCCTTACAGCTGCAGTAGGACTACAACTCACCATGGCAAGCGCATGTAAAAAGTAACATCTAGTTCAGTTTTAGTCCAAGTGCATTTTTGCATTCAATGGTTGTAAGAGATTATTTTATTTCCATCCTCCAACTTCCCAAAAGGGTAATGCATGTTTCATTACATCAACATACTCTTTACTTTAATATATATATATACATATATACACATATACACATATATATACACATATATAAATATATATAATGGTAGCTATCAAGCAACAGTCAATAGGAGGGGAGCATGTCCCTATAAAAATAAATTACACAAAGCCATTTTAAGAACTGAATGCAAATATATGTGTCTGTGTGCGCAAAGTGTATTGCTGAGAAGCAGATGTGTTTCAAAGTAAGCTGCTACCAGGGTGTTCAAAATCAATCATATTTTCTTGACACAAAAAAGCGGTAAGTCTATAATTTTTAGCATATATATCTTAGTTTCAATACTGTGGTTCAAAGACTTTGAAGAGGAAGCAACACACATTATACAGTGACACTCCTCCCCTTGCACATGAACACAAGTGTGCCTTATTAGTTTTAATGAGGTACTCACTTGAGTTCTGGAAAGTTTTCAGATGATATCAAACTCTGAAGTGCATGATTTCCTGTTAATTTTAGATGAGTTAAACCATAGAGGCCAGTTACAGGAAAAGATGCCAAAAGGTTGGATGACAGATCCCTGTAAAATAACAAAGAAAATCAGTTTACCATTGTAGAAGGATTTTTTTTTTGTCCAGAAGAAATCTGTTATCGCCATAGATTAATAAATTAGCAGAAAATCTATTCAGCATCCAAAAGATTCACCAGTTTACAAATCTGGATTCACTTAAAATATGGCTTTTGTCTTGGGTTCCTGGTAAGAGTCTATACTGTAGTCACTGTAGAGCACATTCCACCAGGACGTTCTACTTTCCAAGCTGAATGAAATGACTGGGAGCAGTGAAATGCCATGTTAGCGGATTATCTCCATAGCTTTTTATGAGCTGCATCAAGTGATTCTCTTCCATTGGTATGGATCTTCTTTCTTTGGAAGATTTACCACTTAGCAGAAGGGAACCTTTGAATCCAACCCATTGTCAACAACTGAAGTTGTTGTTATATTTTTTTACATTCCCAGTTAATGATTTTGTGTACCAGTACTTCTGCTAGTGATGTGGATATGTGACCTATAAGGCAAATCTGAATATTACCCTAAACTTCATAGCAGGCAGGATTAATATGCTTCCATATCTCTATGGTATTTATGCTTACAGTCTATGGATATTACTGAGGGTGAGGTGCAGACTCTTCCCTTGCTTTGGAAAGAATCCTGGGAACCCAGATTGCTTTGCCAAACATTCTCCTGGCATTCAGCAAATTAACTTGGAACCCAAGCTGGATTAGAGCAGACTGGGTCCTACCACGGCAAGGGTTCAGGTCAAGCATTGTACTGGGCCTCCAAGAATCTGTCAATGCTACCAAAACATATGCAGGAGCATGTACAGATGCTGGAAACTACAGGAAATGCAGACCATGTAGACATTTCCCTTCAACTCCCAACAGCTTTAGATATACCATGAATGCTCACAGAGACATATATAGTACCAGGAATTCCTAATACAGCACTCAGTGTGAGCAGTTACCACTAACCCAATAAATCAGAGAAACAGAGTGGGAGCAATGCAGAGGGTGCTGGGACTGAAATTAATTTGATTAAGATTGGGCCCATATTCCACAGGGGCTAATCTGATTGGGGGGAGGACAGATGCAAAGTACCCAGGTGCCCAGTTTCTTGCTCTATCCTTGCCTTGTCCCATTTATGGATTCTGCAACGGCACTCATTGAAATCAACTTCAGTGTAGAATGAAAAGACTGCTATTCTGGCCAGATAACTCTCTGATTTTGCATATTATTCTTTAAATTGTCCTCATTTGTTTTATTCTTCACTTTAATGGAGTTTTGCCAATGAATATTTGTAGGATAAAAATGGGCTTCTATTAAATATTAAAGAAAAATAAGCAGATACTTACAGTTTAATTAGGGACTGTAAAGAGGAGAATGCATTGGCCTGGATGGTTGATATTTTGTTCCAAGCCAAGTTGCTACAGAGAGGATGAAAATGATACATGCTTAGTAATGGATTTACTTAGACTCTTTTAAACTTAAGAAAAAAATAGCTTCACCTGTTTTATAGGCTGCACTCTGACATCACAGCAAATCTCTATTTACTTATGATGGGCTTGAGCCTGGATTGTTTGCCAGTCTCATGCACTCCCTCCTTCCCTTCATGCACAAAATGCAACTAAAGGCTCTCTGGCTTTGCAAACCTTGAATCAACTCCGTAAGTTGCCTATTCAGACATCACAGCCAAGTGAAGTTTGATTCTAGGATTTTGAAACCAGAAATCTTTTAACTTTGTTGTACTCGTCATGAGGCAAGGAGGGAAGGAGCATGCAAGCATGGCAAGCAAGGTGGGTGTTCGGCTATCATAATCCAACTTTAAATACAGCCATAGCGAAAAAGAGAGAGGTATACTCAATTTAAAAGTCACTAGACTGAATTAAGAGTATTGAAGTCAATATTTTGTTTGGTAAATCTCAGTGTATGAAGTCCTCCTCTGACCAGACAGCTATTTATTGATTTATTTGATTTATAACACACACAAAATAGAATTAAAACATAAAATAGATAACAAAACTGATAAATACAAATAAATACAAATAAAACAGATTCTAATTAAAATTCAATCAGTCATCAGCTCAGGAACAAATCTGGACAGATAGGCAGCTCGCCCATTCTCTTAGTTAATTAAATGCTGCACAAAACAAGGCAGACTTCCATACCCTACAGAACCTTAACAGATTCTGTACAACATGAATGTCCTCGGAAAGCTGGTTCCAGAGGCAGCCACTGAAAAGGCCCCTCCCCTAGTAGACGGCAGACCTATTGGCACACCTGGGATAATCTTTCTATCTCACACAAGCATCTCCTTCTCATCCATGTCTTACACCCTGTGCCTCATCTCTCTCTCCATCCTTTTATCCATCTTTCTGTGCTCCAATTTTCACTAATCTCTTTCTCTCCCCATCCTCAGCATATGCACTCTTTGTGGCAATATTTCACCGCTAAACGTATGCAATAGACGATAATGATTTCATCTGTTTTTAAAATATTTTATTCAAACATTATCCCTGTTACATTCACTGTGACTTCCTATTTGTGTACATTTATATCGTCTGTCCCCTTTTCATCAAACTTTTATCTATGTAAAACTCACTCTGCTTTTCTGTTCTGTGAATACCAATAAAAGTGTTTTGTTTGGGTTTTTTTTTTTAGAAATGTCTACAGGCAGAAGCTATTTCAAGTGGGTTTTTGTTCATGGCTGTGTGAATTCACTGCTGGAAATGCTCAACGTCAGAAAGTTTGTTTTGCTTTGACAAATTTAACCCAGTGAACTGAATGATCAAAGGGGAAAGAATTGAAAACAAAACATGTAGGAGAAGGCACAAGAAAGAAATGTAAGTTTCTATGTTTCCGAACATCAAGGTGAACAGCTCTTATGGCAGTACTCACAGAGAACGCAGGGCAACCAGCTGCTGGAATGTGCCTGCTTCGATTTTGTAGATGTCATTGTGGTGTAAGTCACTGTAATGGTAAAAATGGCTGTATGTAATGTAATATTTGCAGAATTTTAAATCTTGACTAGAATCCAATGAGAGATGGACCACCTCCACTCATGTGTTGCTGCCCGAATTCTGAGATCATCTGGCGAGGCTCTCCTGTGGGAACCTTCACTTGCACAGATGTGTCCAGCAGGGACCCACACAAGGGCTTTCTCAGCAGCAACCCCTACACTCTAGAATTCTCCTCCTCATGAATTTTTTAAAAAAAGAATTGTATTAGTTTATATAAAGAAGAGCGGGAAGGGGAAAAGAGAGAGAGAGAGAAAAATATAGTATACAAAATTCCAATTTAGTATTCTGCATGCATATCTTATTGTTACAATTTCACAGCTATATCATCTATTGTTGTTGTTATTCTTCTTCACTTAATCTTGTTTTCTCAAAATTTGAGTTTTAACCAGCTTGAGTTTTCAGGCCTTCCAGTTTTAGCTTCAGATTGATCTATTTTCAATGGTCTTTGAGTAGTGCCATCCCTAGCTTTTAGTTCTTTTATTTTATGCTGTTATGTGCATTGTCTTTTGTTTTACGGTTGTATTTCTATAATTATATCTTTGTGTAGGTGCCTTTGGTGTTGTTTTTCCATAGACAGGTGGCACAGTAATCTTCCAAATATTCAGATGGGTCCAATAGCTTGGGCCTGACTACGGAGATTGTTTACTTTTTATTCTTCAAATAGCAAAACCTCCCTGTCCCTATACCAAATCACAAATTACTTTTGAAAGTTCCCCAGATTCAATAGTGTTTTCCTTTCTCGCATGGGGGGGGGTGATGCTGGCTGATGTCTGAGTTTGCAGTTAGAGCACAAGCGAAATTTACTGAGGCTGCTTCTGCACAGAAGTGATTTTCTGCATAGCTCTGATTGATGCTATGAATGCAGAGGCATTCACAGTGGCAAAGAGGGTCTTTTTATGTTTGTTTTTGTCTTTTTCTCTTTTAAACCAACTAAAAATATATATTTAAAAACAACCACAGTGGCAAAGAGTGTCCACACAGCAGCTTTCTCCACACTTCCCATGCCTCAGTCTCTCACAGCTGCCATTTCCTTTCCACACTGGGTAGTGCTATATCACCAAACTATTATGATCTATTGCCATGACCTACTACTTCTCTCTCACCTAATCACTCTCTCTCAGCCTAACCTCCCTAACAGAACTGTTGTTAGGATAAAATGGAGGAGGTGGAGACCATGTATACTGACCAGAGCTCCTTATAAGGGATAAAAATGCACTAACTAGATAAATAAAATGTGAAATAATTGCACAGTTCTTGGAACTGTAGTCACTGTTTGGGCTTCTTCCAGAATTAGAAGCACATTAGCTGTTAGAACAAGAATTCCCAATTTTCTCAGGCAGAAGGTACACCCTACTCATCCCGTCTCCTTATCCTGAAGGAAGAGACGAAAGCTTAAGACACTGCTACATACACAAAAGCCAATGGTTGGAAAGGGCAAAAGAGTGTTGGTAGGCTTGCCAAATGTGCCCGGGGGGCGGGTAACCCCCCGCTTCGGAGCCCCCGATTCCTGCCCCGCCGGAATCGGGGCTCGGGGGGAACCCCGCCCCTGAAGCTGCGTCACCGGAGGTGACGCAGCCACGTTGCCGACGTTGGGGGCGTGGCCGAGCTCGTCGGGGGGGAAAAACATATGGTTCCCCCCCCCCGACGAGCTCAACCCCACCCCCAACGTCCGCAACGTGCAAATTATTTGGCAACCCTAAGTGTTGGGGAAATCCTGAATGATGATCTGTAAGGAAGGCCTCACATCCTCAATTGACATCTAAAATTTTCCCACTGTAATGAAAATCCCATTGGAAGAATACTCTAAATGGTAGAAAGCGGCCCCTCCCCCATCGTTAAGGTTATACTGGACTTTGTTCTCTGATGGAGCACACATTCCATTAAAGAGTCAAAACAGGAGTACATGTTGTGATTGATAAAAGGGCATCAGACCTAATCAAAGGGTGCACCTATAATACAAGTTTTGAATACAGACTTTCAAAAATCCTGTCCCTTGTGTATATGAAGCTGTCCCCTCTGCTAGAGTGAATAGGGAAACCTGTTCCATGTGCATATATGTATCAAATCTTACATTTTCTGAAGTTTTTCACAAGCAGTAAAAACTGGCAAGTCTTCCAGCTGATTATAGGACAGATCTCTGCAATACAAAAGGCAGACAAAATAAATTATATGGCTCTGCTATAAACAGGAAAAAAACATGTTCAGATTGCTGTTACTTTCTGAAAAAAGGATGGTGCTGGAAATACTGCTGGATCCAGCTTTCTTCCAAAGCAGGACTCTTACTTCAATTGTTTCAAATAATCTGTTAGATACCATTTTGCTAGGACAATCTCATCTCTTTAGCTGCAATCACAGTGAAATTCAATTAGCTTCCCAGACTATACTTCAAACTAAATAGTCTTGCCTCTGACCTCTAGAACTGCCATATCTTTAGCTAAGGCAAATGGTTTAAGGAACTAGAACTAACTCTGAAATCAATCACTGCAAGGGGGAAAAAGCCCTTCAAATGATTTAAGCCAAAACTCAACAAATTGCAGAATAACTAAAACATCTGGACTCATTTAAAGTATAATATAACTAATCAAAAACAAGCCATGGTAATTTGCAGAAATTGCAGAAAGAAGAAAGAAAAAAGGGAAATAGTTTTGCATCAACTTTAATAGAACTTCTGTCTGCTTAAAAATTATGAAACTGGACACGGGGACATGTCCTGCTTTTTAACCTAAGATGGTAATGTTTTATGCCTCTGTCTAATTTTTTAAGATCAGTGCAGATTTACATTGTTCAAAACCAAATTCTGTTTGTATGATTATGATGGTAAATCCTTCCCTCTTGGCAGAGAACATTCACTTCCCGTAGGAATGTGGGAAGCCACAAGAATCAACCCATAACAAGGACTAAAAGAGGTCTACCACACACTGAGCCAGGGAAAAGGAAAATGTGGCAGTGCACCTGCAATCTTCTCCAGAAGTTTAAATGGCAGGGGCAGATGGTGGAACTGTGAGGAAGAGTTTCTTTCTTTTCTTTTTTTTTTGGCATCCCCGGAGGAATATTTTTATTATTTTTTTTAATAAGACTACAAAACTACAAAGAAAATATAAGGGAGGGGGCTAACATCTAAGGATAAAGGATAGATAACCACACTACACTAAAAACCCAAGAGGAGGAGATCATATCCATGTTAATCTAAATGTTATTAATAAAAGTGTTAATATAACAATATACATGTACAGTTCTTGTTTGTCTCGGCTTCAATGTTAATATGTTAGTTGTGTGAGAGAATTTTCTGAGCGTCTTCATGTTAGTTGCTTCAAAAGGCAATTTTCAGAGCCCTTCTGCCTTTACTTTGGTTTTCTGTCTCTGAAATCTTTCGTTGTGCCTGCACCCGTTTCCACGGCAGAGTCCTCTTCCATTCCAGAGGTAGCAGAGTCACTTGATTTCGATTCTTCATCTTTGGATTCCTCTTCCATTCCCAACTGGCGTCTCAGAAATTCTTTGGCTTTGAAAGTGGAGTCAATCTTTTCTCTTTTGTCGTTGATTTTAAAGATGACACTCTCTGGGATTGCCCACCTGTATGAAATTCCATTGGTTTGAAGAAAAGAAATTAAGTCCTTATAGCTTTTCCTCTTTTGGCAAATTTAAAATGGAATGTCTTTTAAAGTTTTAGTGTTTATATTCCCCATTTTCAGTGGAGTTGCTGAAGTTGCTTTTAAAATAGCATCTATGGTCTGTCTTCTTGAGAATCTGACCACAATTTCTCCAGGGAGGCTATTTTTTTAATACAATTGGAGTATGCCCTATAAGCAGTCTCCATCTCCTTTACCAGTTCATCCACTGTTAAGCCTATTACTGGAGCTATGATCTCGCTGAGCAGTTTCCTCAGATCCTCTGTTTGCGATTCCGGAACTCCCTGGAATCTGAGAATCATGTTGGCTTTTCCCATTTGTAGCTGTAGCAAACGGTTTTCTTGGAAGTTTTGTTTTGCTTCAACTTCCCCAATTCTTTTCTTCATTTTCTTGTTTGTGGTGTCTATCTCTTTAATTCTCTTGGTCGTTTGTTCCACCTTCTTCACCGTTTCTGCCAGTTGTAGCTGCTGGGATGCGAAGTTTTGATTCAGCAAGGTCAGTTGCTGGTTAATACCATCGAGTTGCTTGAGCATATCCGCTAACATTTTCATGATGTCTGCTCCCTCTCTGAGGAAGAGTTTCTGACCACCAAAATGAACACTGGAGGGCAGGAGGCATTGACAGAGTAATGTTCCAACCCGTTGGCAGGTGTGATGGATTGCACAGAAAAGCAGGTTTTTAAAATACTGCTTGAGTCAGGGAGTTCAAGAGTTAATCTTCCCTGGAGAGAAGAGTTTGTGTGATCGGCTGCTCTACATGCTCTCTGATTGGCCGGCATCAGTTTAGAGAGGAAATATAACAGGTGATCTGGAGGGAAAAGATTCATTTACCTTTTGAGTCACTTTTGGTCTTGGTCTGAAAACTAATGTCTGGATTAGTAGCCAGAAGGTTTTGTTTCTGAGGGAAGAGACTTTGGGAGTCAGCGATTTCTGTCAGGGAACTGTCAGAAAATTACTTCTATAGAAAGAAGAAGAGGGACTCCATTGTCTAAGATATACTAAAACTAATCTGAGGGAGAATTCAGATCCTCAGTCAAGAAGGCTACAACACTGCTTTATACAGACATACAGTACTGGAAGAGGAATTTGGCAGGAGGTTTGAGGAGTTAAGAGAGAACTCCCAGGCAAGCCAAAAAGGAAAAGGAATTATTGCTTCTTAGGGACAAGAAAAGTAATTTCTAGCCAGTAGGAAGGGGTTGGGAAGAGAACCCTGGGGTCTATGATAAAGGGGAAGAGCTTAGACACCTCAAGAGTTTCTGGAAAGCTATAATATCAGAATGGAGAAACCAGATTTCTAAGGGGAGAAATCTAGGAACTATAATCAAACACTATTCTCCAGAAGAAACAATAATAAGAACTGTATTAGTGCTGAAATATATAAACAAAGTACCTCTCGAAGAAAAGAACTAAAAAACCTTGAAATTAAACTACAAGTACTCCCTTGTATGATCTAAACTTTCAAATCTGTATATAGTCTGAAGCTTTATCTCAACCTTTCTAAACCCTGACAATCTCCTATTATATATACTCCCTACTTGTTCAATAAAATATTACTTCTGTTTTGAAAGTTACTTTGCCTCAAGTATCATTTCAAAAAGGGCTTAAATATAAGACAGCTCCTGTATTTTTCCTTATGTTCCTGTGCTGGGTCAGAAGCCTTAACTAATATCTGTGACAGGGTGGGACAGTTAAAGCTTATAAAATAAAGAAGAAACACATGCTATTGAAGGGCGGCTCGGTCACTATGGGGAAGTAAAAATATTTTTGGTGGAAAATCTGACTGGGAATGGGGGAGAGTCAGAGGTCTGTCATAGCAGGGTACTGTAAAATGGTCAATGCAGAGACTAGACAAAGAACAGCTCTGGAGAAATGAATTCTTAGACCCATGGCAATCTTTGCATTTTTCATGGCCCAGACTACAGCAGGACTGCCGAGTGCCACCATGGACTCCCCCATATGACCCTGATCCAAAGCAAATATCATAACAAAACCAGTCATTTGGCTGGCTGTTACCATGTGTGATCTATAATAAGAAAAAGATCTGCATGTCCATCTATTGGTGGCAGGCATAACTCATAAAAAATAAAAGTAGGATCTGGGAAACTTAATGTGCCTCACAGGATTGTTGTTAGGGTAAAATGGAGGAGAGGAGAATTATGTAAACTGCTTTGTGTGTGTGTGGGGATAGAAATTGGAAGTGGGGATAGCTGAATCGCAGATCAAAAAGAGAGCAAAACAAAGAAGGTGAAAAATGTGGAAAAGAGTTAGACAAATGTAGGAAAAGATAACAAAAGGCTTTTATTTATTTTTTCTTTTTGCTACCACACACTAACAGGGCTGCCCCTTTGCAAGATCTCACTGTGCAGGAGCTGGGTGGAACTAAAAGAAACAGCAAGGACTGCAGCTAGTCCTGGATAGTCTTGCTTTGCTCCAGTGCTAGCCTGGCTGATGGGTTTAGAAGGACCTGATCAGCAAATGGTTTCACTCAGCCCCCTGTACTAAAAGGCCCTGCCAGCAGACTCTTAGTGCATTTTATCATGCTCTGCCTTCCCTGTGCCTCTAGTGGCTGCAGGTAGAACTGCATTAGAATTTTTTAAAAATTCATTCTGTCAATGCAACATGGCGCTGGCTTCAGAGGCCCTCCAGCTGTCTTGGCCCCCCGGAATTGTTTCCTCAGTCCCCCCTGTTGGTGGCCATGGACTGGAGGCGTAACTGCTGTAGTTACTAGTTAGACGGGAGACATTGCAGGACTAAGGCTATAGGCCATTTCCCAAACTGTGGCTCTGAGTACGCCAAGGCAGAATATCACTCTTTTCTCAAGTAAATTAGGCTCAGCTTGGGCTTTAACTAAGGGAAGGATGGCACAATCAATGCCCACCCGAAGGAGCCACCTGGTCAGGTAGGTGGGGTTTTTCCTTTTCTTTTCCCCCCAACAAGCAAAGTTGGCCTTCCTTTTACAATGGATAACATTATCTCAGACATGGCCTTAAACCTGCTTTTTAAAAAAGCCAATTATTTAAGCAATGACAGTGTTTTAGGCTGTGCTGCTGACTATGAAGCAGCTAGTATTGTAAGACACATTTTGAGATATAGGAAAATATTCTTAAAGTTGCACCTACAATTCTGGAATTTTTTGGTATAATTTTTTTCTCATAACATTCACAACTTCTTCTTCTTTTTTTTTTTTAAAAAAAACAACCTGGATTAATCAATAGAATTTCAATTTTAGGAGGTACATTCCAACTGGGTTTTCCACAGATGCCATATGACTACTAACTCTACTACAGGGTCCCCATCTTCCCACTGCCAATCAGCTGGGCAGCAGGAGGAAATGCTTGGGTGTGTGCGATCCATATCTCTGGCATGGTGGCGTTGCTTCCAGCACGGCCCTGCAGTGATGTCATCATGCCAAGTGACACTCTAGCATTCACCCCAGCAATGTCACTTCCTGTGGTCATGCGAGAAGTGACATCATTGTGCCAGGCTCACTGATTGCCCCCACCAAACCGTGAGTACCTGCCTCCCCCCATCTCCTATTGGTTGCTACAACGTGCATGGCAGCATTCTAATATTACAACAGTGGTACTCACTCAGAGGCTTGCAGAGAACCACATACGCAATTATCATAAATCAAAAAAGCCACATGATTACTGCATGTCCTATGCACCAACATACCAAACGTGCACATGCAACAATATAAGATATAACTATTAAATATATAACTGTAACACTGGCTGCATCCACGTGATTTTCTGGGCCCTTTACTTCCATCGTTCACATGGGGCTTGCAGCTTTCCCATCCTCCAAACTGAGAGCCAGTTTGGTGTAGTGGTTAAGTGTGCAGACTCTAATCTGGGAGAACCGGGTTTGATTCCACACTCCTCCACTTGCACCTGCTGGATGACCTTGGGCAAGCCATAGTTCTGGCACAGCTGTTCTTGAAAAAGAGCAGTTTCTGTCAGAGCTCTCTCAGTCCCACCTACATCTCAGGGTATCTATTGTGGGGAGAGGGAGGAAAAGGAGTTTGTAAGCTGCTCTGAGACTCCTTTAGGTAGTGAAGGGTGGGGTATAAATCAAATCTCCTCCTCTTCCTCCTTCACAGCAGCTTTTTTGAGGTGCCAACCACAAACACCACTGGGCAATGGCTATTCCCACTTTCTTGGAACATAGGAGTGGTGTCACATTGGGGAACAGTGCTCAGAAGACCCACATGTGTTTTGTCAGAGTTACCTATGGCTCATCAACCATTGAGTGAATATCACTATATAGAAATAATGTGCTCTTTCAAACTGTTTTTAAGACATAAATGTGAATTTGAGGCACCTGTATACTCGTATATATGACCTGTTGTGGTAGAAATAGTTTGATGATATAAAACTTACTCATTTGGGTGTTATTTCATGCTTTGTAGGATGGGTAGCAATGTTTATTGCTCCCAATTTCAGTAATGCAAAAGCAGTAAATAGCTGGTAGTATTTTTTATGTTACTGTGTTAAATAGTACTTCTATAGAATTGCTTATAATGACCATGCTGGGACTATGATGGCCTGTTACAATTACTGTTATTAGAAAGTTGGCCAAGGAAACTTATACCAGATACATTCACCATGATGTAGCCTCAAAGGAAAGTATAGTTGGCCCGTTTACAAAGAAGCAGACAGAATGATTACTTTCGATAGTGATTAGATGAACTCTTCAGCATTCTTACAAATGACAATAATGTATTAGTTAATCCTTTTAAGCAATACCTCTCCCACACATCTTGGGAATACTGTTCTTCCAATCAAATAAATATGGCTGAGAAAGAAAATAAAGTTCACATAACCAAAATACCTAAGCAAGGCTAATTCTTGCTTGAGTGTATGTTTAGTATAAGAACATCCAGCAAGGAGCAGGGAATAAATCCTTTTGCAAATTAGTACCCAACTCTGCAAAACATGTCTGAGCCCAGGTCACACTTGAGGTGGAGGGATGGAGATAATATTTCTCTTCTCAAGGAGAAATATTTCTCTTCTCAAGGAGAAATATTTCTCTTCTCAAGGAGAAATTTTTCTCTTCTCAAGGAGAAATTTCTCTTTAGACATTTGGTGATTCTTAAAAAGCATTTGAAAAATAGAAGAAACTTGTCTCCCACTGGACAAATTCTTAAAACCTTGGGCACTTCAGTAACTCAGCCTTTTTGTCTGATTAGATATACATGTAATATTGCTTGCATATCTTATTCCAACAGAATACCTATTTCATGTTTTTGATATACTGGGACCCCGGTCACACGGGTCAGATATTGTGGGGGGGGAGGCGTGGCTAATTGCCCCGGAGGAAACTAACTCGCGGCCGCCCGAGCACACGTCCCGGTCAAGGTCCCGTGGTTAGGGGGGAGATGCCGACCAGACGGGTATCCTGCAGCGCAGCACAGAAGCCGTGCTGCGCGATTGCACTAGCGATCGCTCTTTGTGCGCATGCGCTGTTGGGCGCTTTTGTGCGACCTGCGGAGACTTGGGAGACTAAAAAAACCCTTGTGTGCGACGAACAGCAGCAGGCGCCGGATGCCACGTAAGTCCACCGGAAACGCGATCAGACGTCCGCCCTTCCGGAAACTAGTACCTCGGAGGTACTAGTTTTTACTCCGCATCTTTGGCAGGAACCTCGGGTTAGCCACGGGAGCTCTACGCTTCCCAGATGTTGCGGTGTGATCGTGCCCGGAAAATCCGCCTACCATCCGTATCGTCAGTGCAGCAAATGCTCCGTGTGACCACAGCCTTAGATATATATTGTACAAATGCCAAATCTCAGCAACTACAGTCACATAAAAACAAGTCTCTTATTTACATGTCGATATATCCATGGAACAAGTTAAAAAGGAAATGGTTCATAAACCTTATCCTTTTTCATTTTCAGTGAGATCAGTAGACAATAAACAAAGTCAAAGTTATTCCTCAAGACCTCATCCAAGTGCACCATACACATTCATAGCTGAGCAAATTTCATCTCAGTTCTCCCATGTCTAAAGATTTGCCTTCACTGGGGCCTGCTCTCAGGCAGATGTTTTAAAGCTTCAGTTACTACTGTCTAGTCACGACTTGTTAGATAACTAATTTGTGACTCACAAAAGCTCATACCCTGCCACAAATTTTGTTAGTCTTTAAGGTGCTACTGGACTCTTGCTCTTTTCTACTACTAGGTAAAGGTTTCTTTTGCTCAAAAGCCAGTCGAATCTGACTCTAGGGGGCGGTGCTCATCTCCGTTTCCAAGCTGAAGAGCCAGCACTGTCCGAAGACTTCTCTGTGGTCAAGTGGCTGGCATGACTAAACGCCAAGATGCCCAGAATGCTGTTACCTTCCCACTACAGACAGACTAACACGGCTACCCATCTTCCTCCTAGCTGGTATTCTCTCCTGCAGGGTAAATGATTTCATTGGACCACCACTAAGATCCTCTATGTTTGCTCTTCCG